TAATATCTCCCCCCCCCCCCCCCCACACACACACACACAATAGGCTCTCAAGTAACTGAGATTTCAGCTTGCATGGCTAGGCCCAGCTATATTACACTCTGTAAGAACTATTCATGAGAGTTCTCAGCACAGAGGCCATAGTAATAAAAACGTGTTCCAAGTGGCCAAAGCCTGAAGACACTGCTCTTCTTAACTGTATCAGCCTTACCTATCCACCAGTCCTCGGTGAACCTGTTCGGGGATCACAGGGCCCACAGGTATTCGCCCTATCCCTGGAAGCACATGCTCTTGTAGAGAAGATAGAGTCAACCAGAGAGCAGCAGAGTCTGGAAGGAAAGAAACCACAGGGGGAAAGGACAGTTAAAAAATACACCCAGGGCTGGAGAGATGGCTCAGCTATTAGAGGCTAGGCTCACAACCAAAATTATAAAAATTACACCCTATGTATACTAGTTCATTCCCGTGTGATGTTTCAGCCATTTTTCCTTAGTGATTATATCACAGGGAACATTCGACATGTGATATGAATCCCTGGTTCCTTGATTCATGTCTTCAGACCAGCAACAGCAGCAGGTGGGAGTGTGTTCAGGAATAAAATCCACAGGCTGTAACCCAGATTCACCAAGTCAGTCTGTAGTGGCATTGCCCCTATGTGCTTTAACAGCTCCTCTGGTGGATCCAGTGCACGAGAGCCCGCACTCTGAGACGGCTGATGTTTAAAGACCCCAAATGGGAAGCATCTACAGTCTAATTCAAATGTTAACTTTTCAAAGTCACTTTTCTCATACTTAGGTTTCCTGGAGTTAACAGTGAAAATATGTGCTTTGGGGTGGACGTTAGGGAAGGTCTGCATCTTTGCAACCTCTAGTGAGAAACCCCTGGCCTCTAACATTGCTACCTGGCACACTATGGGGCTCCAGTGGAGGAATCGTGTTGAGGTCTCCACCACGTTGCTGTTCTGTTGGATTCTTTTTCTGATAATAGTATAAGAAAATTAAAATAAAATCTAATTTGCATTTCTATGATAAAATGTTCTCCCAGCAACATCCCTCTCCCTTCTTTAAATAGTAAAGAGTACAGCTGAGTCTGAAAGCCCCCGCCAGTCCCTCTTTTCCCTCAGGCAGCTGTAGTGCTCCAGTATGCCAGAAGGACCCATGTCTCGGCTCAGCCCACAGGAGAGAACTCTACACGGTGAAAATAAAGTATCTAAGACCTTAAGTTCAACCTCTGCCTTTTCCCACAACAGGACCTAAATACAGGACTACTCAGCAAAATAAATTCTCTAAAAAAAACAAAACATGTTTTTTCAGAAAGATCTTCATATATTTCCAAACCCATAAACTAGCTGTTATAGCCCTGGAAGAATTGAGGCTGTTTAGAAGTGGTTTTGTTCAAATTTGTCAGTTTTCCCCTTATGGGAGCCCTTTTGTGTAGAGCATTAAAAATCACTGGTACCAGGTCTCCTGAGCTCAGGGACTAACTTGGAAGGAAGGACTAAAGCCCAAGGAAAACAAGTGTAAAACAATTGCACTAAAGTCACCCCTAACCATCCAGCCAGCTCCTGTCGTATCATCCTGCTTCTCGGCCATTTCTCTGAGAAGGAAAATACAAGGAGCCAACTCCCACACGACAGCCAGTTTCTGACCCTGCTGTGCTCCTCCACCCCCCACTTCCTAATGTTCTTTTGTTTATTGCTTTTAACAAAACAAAACTATAGTGAATTCTAGGTCTTGCTAGCTTCCTTTCCTCCCCCTCCCTATCCTGTTTTACACAGCACTGCTCATGTAAGAGGCTGTGTTTCTCAAATGCATGGCATTCCTCAGGTGGCCTGAGTACAAAATCCCAAACCAGGTTATGTGTGTGTCTGCGTGTCTGTCTTATTTTCTTCTCATTAGACCCTCACCTACTCAGTCTGTCCCCTTTTATACCTAATGTAGAAAAGGCAAAACTGAATCTGGAAAGCAAATTGTTGTATATAGTTGCGGTAACAATCATGAAGAGAGCTGGGCTGTCCCCTCAGTAATTCATTTTAAATAAGTAATTGGTTGAAAATTAAATCCATGCCTTTGGCCCCCTGAAATGGCCTTCCTCCATCGCCACAGAGGCTACCCTTACCTGGGTCCTCTGTCTATCAGGCATGTCTCCATCCAGCAAAATTCATCTGTTCTCTGCCATTTGCGTTTCAATAAAGTTAACTCCTGTATTGTCCACTGGTTTTCTAGCTCACTCTCTGCCTGGTTTCTGTGTCCATTTATCTTATTGCTTGATCTGGAATGTCAGACAACTTATGGTCATTTGCCTAACTCAGAAGCAAAACCCACCTGCTTGTAAACATCTGACCCCAAATGCTGAGTAGGAGTCTCTTCTGTTAATATGGTCAGAGGAGAACCCCACCTTGTACATTGTAGACACAGCTTTTGTCATACCTTGCTTTCATTTGCTATGATAAACACAATGACCAAAAGCAACTCGGGGAGGAAAGGGCCTATTTCATCTTACAGGTTATAGTTCATTAGCAAAGGAAGTCAAGGAAGTAACTCAAGGAAGAAGCTTGAAGCAGAACCCCCCTCCCCTCCCCCAGCCCTAGCAATGCTGCTTACTGGATTGCGCTGCTTGGTCTTAAATAGCCTAGGCCCACCTGCCTGGGGATCGCACTAACCACAGTGGATTAGGCCCAACTATGTCAATTAGCAATTAGGAAATGGTTCGAAAACTTGGTCACAGGCCAATCTGATTCAGTTGAGGTTCTCTTTCCAGGTGACTCTAGCATTGTGTCAGATTATCAGCTGAAGCTAGCAATGAGTTTCCTTCACCAGAAGTCAAGGCTTCCGGTTTGCTGGGCAGAAGTCTCTTGAGTTCTCTCTCCATCAACTGCAAAGTTTGAAAATGCACTACCCTCTAGTTCTCAACCTGTGGGTGGTAACCCCTATGGGGTCAAATGACCCTTTCCCAGGGGTTGCCTATCAGATATTTACATCACAATTTATAACAGTAGCAAAATTAGTTATAAAGTAGCAACTAAAATAGTTCAATGGTTAGAGTCACCATAAATTGAACTTATTAAAGGGCTGCAGCATTAGGAAGGTTGAGAATCAATACTCTAGATACTACCTAATTTTTCTTTTGGGAGATAAAATGAAGTTAGCTTCAAAGGGCAGCTGTTCTAATGGAGTTCGGGTTCTCCTGGCCACTGTAAGACAGAAAATAAACCTTACTGTTCTCTGCTATGGAATTGCAGAGTCAAAAGGCACTCGCTTTCCTATAAATACCTGTTCTGTGCTCCAACAACATAGGCCATCCATTCCTTTTGTCACTAGGTGTTTGCCACTCTGTCCTGAATTTTTAACCCCTTGCTCTAATCCCCTCCACTTGCTCTATTTAGTAGTGTCTCTGTGTTGTGGCCATTTCCTGTGACTAGTCCTTGTTAGCCATATTAAACTACTCTACTACTCTTGTTCCCCTATATCACTACCCATATCTCAGGGAGCATGCTGGGCTAACTAGATGGCTGGGGGGTGGGGGTG